TATCTCGTGTAGATCTCTCACCTTGAATCTCATCTGGGCCCGTGATTAAAAGAATGCAGCATAGATGAATCCACATGACCTCCGATGCCAGCTCATAGAAAGCCTTATAGATTTCACCTTGGTACTACAGAAAATATGGTACTGGAAGAAGTCCATTAACAAGTTAAAAAAAAAAATCTAACTGAATTGAGACCACCTTGCTTATAAGGAAGCCAAAACTAGCCCTGTGGGATGCCACATGAAGAGACTGAAATGTTCAGCTAGACCTCCGCCCTTCCAGCTTTTCCAGCAAAAGCACTAGATCTGGGAATGAAAATACATCTTTCAGGTCTAGATCAGTTGAGTCTTCAAATGACTCCTGGGCTCCATTTGACTGCAATTTCATGACAGACCAAAAGTGAAAACCACCCACCTAAGCCCATTCAAGTCATAGAACCTCAAGGGATACTAAATTATTATTTTGAGCTGGGTAACCGTGGCTCATGCCTAACTACTTGAGTGGCTGAGATAAGGAGAATCGAAGTTGAAGGCCAGCTGAGAAAATAATTCTCAAGACCCCATCTCCAAAATAATCAGAGCAAAATGGACCGGAGGTATGGGTCAAGTGGTGGAGTGCCTGCTTTGCACTCTGAGTGTAAAACTCAGTCTCATCAAAATAAATAAACAAATAAATTATTGTTTTGAGCCACCACATTTTCAGGTGGTTAGTTACACATCAACAGAAAACTGTGAAATTCAACAACCAAAAATAGCTCTAGATTCAAACACTTCTTTCCCCATAAACCTTGTATGCACACCTGCAGCTCCCCAGTTGGGCTTTCCCCCAACCCACGCTCCTACAAAGCATGTCTCTCTGCCATTAACAAAATGTGTTTCATACTGTCCACTCTCCTACAATCCTGACCCTATTGGAAGTCAGGAAACCTGGGTCTTCATCCTCTTAGAACTAAACTCCCTTCAGGCTCTTCTCTGAAAAAAATGTAAGGATTGTATGTTTGAATTTTGTTTAGTGCATGATAGGTAACACCTTCCCCTTTCTCCAAATAGAAACTAAGACAAAATATATTAAACAGTTGCAAGCAAAAGAATTCTAACTGAAACAGGAGAGAAAGAAGCTGGCATTGGAATCAGAAAACCTAGGTTCAAGTGTAAGTACTCCCCTCACTAGTGCTAAGAGCTGGGACCCCCTCCAGGCTCAGAGTGAAAAACCAATGATTTTAGAGGCCTTCCTGCTTTACAAGTTGTGATCTATAACAATTACCATTTAGAAAACAGACTTGTACTTTAAGACTTTGGGGTAGTGTTTCATTTATTGGTTATGTGGTTCGTTAGCCAGTTTCTTATTAGTGTTACAAAATACGTAGGGTAATGAACTTAAAGAAGAGGAAAGGTTTGTTTTGGCTCACAGTTTCAGAGGCTCAATTCACGGTTAGTTGGCCCATTGCTTTTGGGCCTGTGGCAAGGAAATACATCATGGAAGCAGCACATGGTGGAAGAATCTGCTGATCTCACAGCTGCTGGAAAGCAAAAAACAAGAGAGGAAAGGTCCCAATATCCCTTCATGGGCATGCCCCCAATGACATACCTTCCTCCTATTAGCCTCACCTCTTAAATGTTCCAGCCCCTCCTCCCCCCAATAGTGCCATGGGCTGGGGACCAAAACCTTTAACACATGGGCCTTTGGAAGACACCTATCCAAACCATAATGTGTGGCATCATTTATTTAATTTTTAAAGAGTACTAAACTGGAATAGTTTTTATATTGCTTTGGCTTTTTCACTGAACTAGTTTTATACTAGTGTTTCTCAACTGCCCTATGGTAAGTGAACACTTACCATCATATCTGTTCCTCTCAACACTGGTATTAAGCTTAGTTCTTGCTTCATCACTAGGGAGAGAAATAAAGTACTTCAAATTTCCCACTATGCAATACGATTTGGCTTGGGAAATACTGGTTTAAAATTACTCTATTGATTTTTTTAAGGTCTTATTTTCAAAGGTCTCCATAGTAGGAGATTCCATGGCTTACCAAAGACTCTCACTCCAATGTATAATGGTTGTATTCATTAGGAAATGAACCTTCATATTTGATGTAAATCACTCAATAATGGTGCCCCTTCAGGTAATGTTTCTTAACTTTCATTCTTACAATTTTTTTCTTAAAAGTTAAGTTCTTCAGTATTACTGTACAGCTCTCTTCTAAACTCTCTTAATTCCTTCCCATTTTCCCCTTTGGATAACTGGCCTTAATTAAAAACAGGAATGATCTGGTAAGTGCTCCTGGAATTTTTTGATTATGAATATAATGCATAGTTAAATTATTACAGAGCTTCCGGGTTTCATCTTGGTAAGTCATCAACATCCTCCAAAACATGTCATCAGACAATATGCATAAAATTACAGCATGTGAACATTCTTAATGCATGCTCACATGAACTAACAAATACACACCCTGCCACATATTACATGGCAACCAAATCTACACACAAATTTCCAAAATCATTATTGAACTCTGCCCCTGAGCCTATAGACAGATGCACAGAGTATCTGATCAATGTTTTAAAAATTGACCAATCTTCTAAGCTATTTGAATAGAAGCTCCCACTTTCACAAAGGTGATGGGCTAGGCATTTCCTATTAGAACTATTTCAATAACTGGAAAATGTATCGGCTAGGACTCTTCCTTGATATTAAAAGTAAAAATTTAAGTTCTCAGAGGCTTGGAAGAAGAAAAGAAATGAGTTTCTTATTGGTACAAAATCAAAGAGCCTCCTAGAACATATTTTGGGCATAAGTTTATGCCTGTATTTTGATGTACTATCATAAAATTTTCCCTATTGTTTGATTGTTACTGCTTTTTAAATACTGTACACCATTTTATTGTATTATAACCCAAAGAATAAACAAATTAGGCAGTTGTTTCACAATGTCTTTTAAACTTAAGCAAATGTCACTAGGTAAAAATATGTAGTATATTTGCTCCTTTTGCTATTTTATTCATCAGCCCCCTTCTCCCATGCCATACCTTCCCAGCTCTTTCTCTCTTAAGTTCGCACTACTGAGCTGTAAGCCCATGCTGGGGCCACCCTGAACACTTGCCCTTTTTCATGCATCAAAAGAGGGCTGACCACAATTTTGCAAAAGGTTAAACATGGAACACCATATGACCCAGCAAATCTACAACTAAATGTTTATATCCGAAAGAATTTAAAGCAGGAACTTGAATAGGTGTTTGAACACCAATATTCAAAGCAGCATCATTTACAAAAGAAAAAAGGTAGAAATAACCCAAATGTCCATCAATAGATAAATGAATAAGCAAAATGTGGTATATAGAAGAATATAAACATAATAAAGGAATACTGAGCCAAGTAACAGAGTGAAATTTTGATATATGCCAACACCATGGATGGACACTGAAGATATGCTTAGAAGTAGAAATATTGTATGCTTCCAATTAGATGAGGCTCCTAAAATAGACAAATTCATAGAACAGAAAGCAGAACAGAGGTGACTACAGGCTGGGAGGAGGCAGGGGGTTTAATGAAAGTTATTATTTAATGGGAATTTATGTAGGAAAAGAAAATAAAAATTACTTTGAGGAAAGAGTCAGTCAGCTGTGAGCTCTGTATTAGGGGTTTGAAAGGCCCCTGAATTGAGGAGTCACTATGCTGAGGTTGGGAGGTTGACAATCTTTTCTAAATTCCAAGCCCACTCCATTCCTGAGTAGGATGAGGAACTAGAGAAGGGACATGGAGGCAAAGGCATCAGGAATGTCCCCAGGAAGACAGCTGTGAGCACAAAGAGGCAACCTCTAAGATTCCAGGTCACCCAGGCCATTTCCCATTCAGCACTACTCTGAAGTGAACCTGTGGTCAGAAAGGAAAGAGAGACCTGACTAGGCCAACTCTTAAGGAATTTGCATAAACCTTTTATTTTTCAAGTGTCACAGCAATCAGCCTGACACGATAAGCCAGTAGATAGCATAAAGATGTATAACTTTTGAATTTGTGAGGTTATTTGGAAGGGTAGGTGTTTCACACCCCCCCCACGTACTGTGGTTGCATATTCTTTGTCATATTCCTAAATATAAAATTAATTTTAAAAGAAAAACAAAGGACTTGCAGCCTCAGAGCACAGTAATTTCTTCCCAGGCATGTCATGTTTAACTATTGCCACTTTCTGGAACTTTTATGTGAACAGTCTGTGTCCTGAACTCTTTCTGTAATGTGACCACTCTCTCTCTCCCTTTCCCTCCCTCCCTCTCTCTCCCCCCCTTTCCCTCTCTCACTCCCTTGTTGGACTTCCCACAATGAAATACTAATAAATATTAGTTATTTTCAATTATAGCAAACTGGAAAACCACTAACATCAACGTTATTTCTTATAATAAGTCAATGTTTAGAACTATGCTTAGAACAGGAGGGCTCTCAGATTGGTTGAATGAATGGATGCTTCACAGACTGGAAGCAGCAAGGCCGACCCTCACCAAAAGGTAGGAAGACGCATCCCATTGGCCCTGGCTGGGTGCAGAGTGACATTTTGAAGGTTGTTTCTCTTCCTCCCGCACCCCCACCCCCAGACCTAGGAAGCCAACCACTAAAAGCAACTACTTCTAATTACCTTTGTTATTCCCACATAAAAGACTGAGGAGAGCGATTGTTTCAGCATGAAGAGACAGCCCTCAATGAGGCAATATCCTGTTTGAATAATTTAGGCTGCAGCTCAGGCCGGCACTCCGTCGGATCCGTTTCCTGTATCTACAGCTAGCGACTTTTTATAAACACAACAAAAACCCTGTCACAGTCAGGGTAGGGGAAAGAGCCCAGTTTACCAGGAGGCTGAATCTATAGTGGCTTGTTACGCAAACGCTTCACCTGCTTGGCCAATTAGCTTCCCATCCCAGCAAGACTAGTTCAGCAGGTTTCCTCTTTCTCTTCCTCGGCGGCGGGTTGGGGAGCGAGGCTGTCACTTGGCTTGGGCCCTCCCTGTCCCTCCCCTCCGGGCCGGACCAATCGCGCGGGCTCGGACGTGTCCCGGTGGGCCGGGACCGGCGCGCGGCCGCCTGGCTGCGCCGGGCCGAGGGCGCGGGGAGGGCGCGGCGCGGCTCGCTGGGCCTGCGCCCCGGAGTTGCCAGCCTTGCTGCGGGGACCCCGGCGCGCCCCGCCACGCGGCCCGATGACTGAGCTACAGCCGGAGCTGGACGACGCGAAGCCGCCCAAAGGGCTCGGGAAGAGGGACAGCAGAGGTGGCTCAGCCCAGTAAGTCTGCTCCGCTGGGACCCTCCGAGGTGGCAGAAGCGCGCTGCCCCATCCCACACCTCTGCCACACCACGGTCGGATGGAAAGGCTTTCTGGAACTTTTCTGTGAACACTCTTGTGTCCTGACCTCTCACTGTCGCTCTCTCCCTCTCCCTCTCTTACTCTCTCCTTCCCTCCCATCCTCTTTTCTCTGGAGCTTGCGCTCTCCCTCTTCCTCTCCCCACCCTTTTCCCCCCCTTTCTCTGCCCCCCTCTTCCTCTTCTTCTCTCCCCCTCCCTCCCTCTTTTTTTTCCTCTGTCCCCTCTCTCCCCATCTCCTCATCTCCTCTCTTTCCCTCCTCTCTCTTTGATTTTAGGTATGCACTGTAGCTTGCAGTCTGTGGGGATATGAATCATTTGATCCGAGAGCACATTTGGTGTCTTATAATTCCCAAGGGAAATCTGGGAAGCCTATTCAACTCCAGCCATGGCAAGAAACCATGCCAATATTTATTTCAGTTGTCCTACTTCTTAATGACAACTGTGGGGATCCATTTGTCTCTGGTTATTAGACATCATAAGATTGTTGTCTTTCCAGTGATGTGGACTTTGATTCGGGGCTTGTGGATGTCTTCCCCCGGTTCCTTTTCTGTTTCCCTTCAAGACAGGAAAAGTATTAGGAAACGTGAAATACTCTTTTTCTCCTCCCTGGAGAAATGATTTGATGACTTAACACAAACTTATTTCCCGCTTTTTTGGAGAAAGGGTGTGGTGTCAGGGTGGGAGAGAACAATAATTATAAAGTAAAATAGAACACTTCAAATACTGAGTTGTGACCATCCTCTTAAAACATTTATGTGCATAATAGGATTTGCACATTACTTGACCTATAAACTCTTCCGGCTTAAGAAACTCAGAATAAATATTTTGATCAAAGGATTAACTTCCTAAAATGAAACTCACTTTATCTCTACTACTTTTGTTTTTTAGTTCAGAAGGTATAATTTTTAAATGATTATTTTTCCCAAAAATTTTTCTTTAAAAAGGAAAAGAATTTTCCAATATTTGCTTCTTTTTTAAATATCACCAGAATAAGTCACTGAAATTAAGAGATTATAAATAAGATCAATATCTTAATAAGCCCAATTTTGTGATGTCAAGTTGTTGGGGATACTCAAAGTATTTTATTGATAGTGTTATGAAAAGATGATAAATTCTTGTAGTAGTGAAGACTGATTCATCATTCATCATTTAAGAAAATCAGAACCTTGTTCCTAATAAGAATTTGTATATATAAATGCAAATTCTAGGCGTGTATCCATGGAAGTTAGGGCAGAAGTTTTGGAAGAAGAACTTTGTTAACTGCCTTCATTTGTGGTTCCAAGACTTAGTCATATTGTCTCCCAGAGTTTCTGCCTTCTTTGCCAGTTCTTTCTTTGTCCTCTGGCAATGTCAACTTCCACTGACATTCCTTACCCTTTATGACAAAGAAATTGCTAGTAGTTGTCCTTCCATGTTTTTGTTTTCTCACCCAGAAATAATATCTTGACTTTATAAATGAACTATTAAATATCACTCATTTCCTTTGGAGTTAATCATCCTTACACATACTTTATTTCTCTGGAAAAGAGGCAGTGTGGATGGTGTTTTCACCATGTTACAAATGGAGGTGACAGGGGTGTTGAGTGGCAGAAGCAAAGCTAGAACCCGAGACTTTAAATGCCTAATCCAGGACTCACCCAAGGCGGTCCTTAGTTCCAGTTACACAAAGCAGAATGATTCATGTCTCCCTAACAGCTGGCATTACTGAGAGTGTGCTTGCTGTGTGACAGGGAGTATGCGCAACACTTTGCATGCATTTGCAATAAAATGAAATAGACACTATTTTTATCTCCATTTTACAGATAAGAACAGTGAAACTCTTGAGAAGTTAGGCAGTCATACAGTTACTAAGCCTAATCTTCTAACTCTAGAGCCAATTGTAAGCACTGCACAATAATTTATTCTCAGCTCCACTGTCTTTAATCTATACTGGCCCTCCATGGCCTACTCTAAAACATAGGTTTCTCTGCCAAGACTTTAGAATGCTTCATGATCTAGACAGTCATAGATCATTTCAACCTCATTCTCAATACTAATCCGCATGTGATCTTTTATAGCCAAGTATCATCCAGTAACCTTGTACTTATACTGTGCAGTGCTTCCATGCTCAGTCCAGTGTTTTTCATCAGTGGGTGGATGGATAAGGAAAATGTGGTATATGTGCATAATGGAAAATATGGTATAAGAACACATTCTTCGTCTTCATAAAAGAAGGAAATCCTGTCATTTGTGACGTGGATAAACCTACAGGACATTATGCTAAGTGAAATGAGACAGGCACAGAAAGATAAATACCACGTGATCTCACTTACATGTGGAATGTAAAAAAGCTGATCTCATAGAAGTAGAATGTTGGTTACCAGAGGATGGAAGAGAAGGAATGGAGTTGGTGGTCAAAGGGTACAGAGTTTCAGATAGAAAGCAGGAATAAATTTTGAGATCTGATGCACAGCAGGGTGAAGAAACAGAGACAATATTGTATGTTTCAAAATAAGTGTAAATTTCAAATACCTTATAATTAAAAATGATAGGTAAGTGAGGTAAAGTTTAAAAATACATATTTTCTTAAAAAACTCCAAAAGGGAAAAAAAAAAAAGAGGTGATAGGCAGAAGGAATAGGAATGTGCCATTCGGTAGGACTGAATAATCCCTGTCTCTTTTCCTTGCTCAGTTAGTTCCCACTGTCTTTTCTCTTAGACCTCTAGAAATGAATTCAAGTTTTCCTCATTTAAAGACTTCCCTTATCATTGCCACATCATCTCTTCCTTATCAGTGCTCCTCTTGTACATACTTAGTGGGTCCCCTGGAATTTAGCTGCCGCTGTTATAATAATTCAGCTTTCCTGTCTCCTGGACCAGGGACCCTGGCAAATTACTGAGCACAACTACCTCAGTTTCATCACCTGCTTCATATCAGCTCGATTTGAAGTTTAAATAGGAAATGTGAGAAATGCACTTAGCCCAATGCTGACATACTGGCAGGTCGCCATCAATTGTAACTGTTAGTGCTCGTTGCTAAGGGACTGGAACATCTATGGGGTGGGGGTGGGAGAATGACATAAAATGTAATTAAACTAAATTGTCCAAATTCAGAAGGCTTAAACTCTTACAGTAGCACACAACCACATCCTATTATGTGAACTTGAGTTTTGTGATAGCATCCAACCATTTCCGTGAATCTAACTTCTTGCTTTCTGCATTATGCAAAAAGGATCTGATGCCAAACTGTTTTGTGATACCCCAGCTTATTTAAATATTACTGATCTGCCATTATTGCATCTGTTGTCCAATACTTTTATCCGTGACCATGGATTTTCACATTCTGCTTCCTGGCACTGAGATTTTCCTCAGCTTTAAACTGCTGAGCTTTTTCTGTGTGTTAAACCCAGCATTCTTATTCTATGCATGCTCAGTTTCAGGCACTTCGCACCTTTTCAAATGGAATAAAGCAGAGGTCCCGAGAGACTCCTCCTCAGCCGCAAAATTGAGCACTTCCTTCTCTAAAACAGGAGTGTTTTTATTCCAATATAGGTTTGATTGTTTACCTTTAGAAGTAACGTAAACTTGGTACCAACTTAAAGTGCACTCCCTAAGGTGACTTACTTATAAGCTGTTATTGGTCACTCACAAGTGTCTGAGGCTCTTCTACTATAATGGGGCGTGGTGTCCCAAGATACAGTATTTTTAACAACTTTATTAAAGAATTTTTTTACATGTCATAAAATTTACCAATTTCTAGTTTAGAATTCAATTATTTTTAGTAATTTTACCAAGTACTACAATATCACAATGACCTAGTTTTAGAGCATTTCATCCCTGCAATGAATTTCTTCAGGCATATTTATACATAATCCCTATTTCCACACCTGACATCAGCCTCAAGCAAACACTTTTTTTTTTTTCCTTTTATTATTGATATGTGCATACAAGGCTTGGGTCATTTCTCCCCCCCTGCCCCCACCCCCTCCCTTACCACCCACTCCGCCCCCCTCCCCCCACCCCCTCAATACCCAGCAGAAACTATTTTGCCCTTATTTCTAATTTTGTTGTAGAGAGAGTATAAGCAATAATAGGAAGGAACAAGGGTTTTTGCTGGTTGAGATAAGGATAGCTATACAGGGCATTGACTCACATTGATTTCGTGTGCGTGGGTGTTACCTTCTAGGTTAATTCTTTTTGATCTAACCTTTTCTCTAGTGCCTGGTCCCCTTTTCCTATTGGCCTCAGTTGCTTTTATGGTATCTGCTTTAGTTTCTCTGCGTTGAGGGCAACAAATGCTAGCTAGTTTTTTAAGTGTCTTACCTATCCTCAACCCTCCCTTGTGTGTTCTCGCTTTTATCATGTGCTCAAAGTCCAATCCCATTGTTGTGTTTGCCCTTGATCTAATGTCCACATATGAGGGAGAACATACGATTTTTGGTCTTTTGGGCCAGGCTAACCTCACTCAGAATGATGTTCTCCAATTCCATCCATTTACCAGCGAATGATAACATTTCGTTCTTCTTCATGGCTGCATAATATTCCCTTGTGTATAGATACCACATTTTCTTAATCCATTCATCAGTTGTGGGGCATCTTGGCTGTTTCCACAACTTGGCTATTGTGAATAGTGCCACAATAAACATGGGTGTGCAGGTGCCTCTGTAGTAACCTGTGTCACAGTCTTTTGGGTATATCCCCAAGAGTGGTATTGCTAGATCAAATGGTAGATCAATGTCCAGCTTTTTAAGTAGCCTCCAAATTTTTTTCCAGAGTGGTTGTACTAGTTTACATTCCCACCAACAGTGTAAGACCTTTTTCCCCGCATCCTCGCCAACACCTGTTGTTGGTGGTGTTGCTGATGATGGCTATTCTAACAGGGGTGAGGTGGAATCTTAGCGTGGTTTTAATTTGCATTTCCTTTATTGCTAGAGATGGTGAG